CAATTCGTTAAACGTCTATCTATGGAAAATTAGAAACACCATTAAGATAGATATTATCACATACATCAAGAATTGACGAACTTAATGTATAAGAGGATAGCTCTACTGCAGAATTGTCTTCTAGGTCATAAACTTGAAAGAGTCATAAACTTGAAAGCTCCATTACATTACCAAAGGAACCTCTACTACACTTGCATCTGTAGTCGCTGGTCCTAAGCTTGGATGTGAAAAAGACTCAAAGGCAATAAAAATTACAAGGTTTATTGCTAAAATGATATGTAATGATAACCAACCTGATGGTAAAGTAGAGGATTCTTGCTTCAAGAAATTTTTAGAGCCAATGTATACGATACAACGCAGAAAATATTTTCTAACAAATGAAATTCCTAATATTCATCACAAGATATCAGATACATTGTTTCATGGAAAAAAAAGTTGACCGCGTTAGTTTAACTACCGACACATGGAGCTCAATAGAAAATGTTGACATGTTGAATGCATGATCTTATCAGCACACTTTCTAAAAGAATATATGAGCTAAATTCACATCTGTCTCAATGTCGCACCTTTTCCATAAAAGTCCCAAAAGGCTAATCCTATCAAATTTATGAAAGAATCGCTGTTGTTGTTGACTGCTTAAATTGTTGTTGACTGCTTAATGAAATAATAAGAGGTATGCCAGAAATTTTTTTTGTTTCTGTAATGAAAGTAGGGAAGTTTTCAAACATTTTGTTTTTTTTGCCTATTCAGTAGAGTTAGTTGCCAAAGACGTCTCAACAATGGGCGCATTTCTTCACTAACAGCTACCTGTAGAAGAAATTTGAAGAAGAATCTTGAAGTATTTAAAATACTAGGTAAATATTTACAAAATTTTAAGAAAATTTTAGAAGATTTTATAATCATCTAAACACAGCATCATTTAAGATGAGCCAACTAGATGGAATAGCACTTTATAGTTTCTAAATATTAAACAAAAAGATCCAATTTTGTTGGTAATAAATGTAATAAAAGAAAATACTAGTCTTTTGTGAATCTTTTCATCAATGGTATGCAGCCTCCGAAAAGGAATCCATATATGTTTAAGTAATAATCCTTGATACCAAATTTAAAAACAAGATTTTTTGAAGCAAGACAACGGCTGAAAAAGTTGAATGCATTGGACTCAGACATGAGTCTTGAAGTTGATATTGTTATTTTTAAGTATTTATTTATATTAAGTATTTTTATAATACTAAAACCTTTATATTATATTTATTATACAAGATGTTATTTCTATTTATTTTAATTTATATTAGCTTTATATACTATAATCTACATTTTTTTGTCTCATTCGTTTTTTGTTTTTTTTTTCTTCAATTTTTTTTGCTTTATGCTTTCTTTGTTTTATTTATGTGTTTTAAAGTGTCACTTCATTGTCAATGAAGTTGACGAGTTTACATATGAGCAAACTTAATAATGTAAAGTTTTGATGTACCGTTGTAAATTTTAAATTGTTATAGTTAAATAAATAAAAAATAATCATAAAAATGAGTATTCTATGGGTTTCCTCATTTTTATTAATAAGTATTATATTATTTATTAATAAAATAATCCATGAATTATTATGGATAAACTTTTATTATGACCATGAAATCTAAAAATTAATTTAAACTCACACGATAAACTCTGGATAAAATTTCAGCCAGATTGGTTAAGGATTTATGGCCATTTTAATTTATATTTTGTTAACTTTTTGCTAATTATTAAATTTACCTCAAAATGTTACCGATTACTCTGATATTCGAACACTATTTTTCAAAATAACTGTTACATAAGTGTTCTTCTAAGTAATATCAATTAAGTAACTAAGTAATATCAACTACTAAGTAATATTAACTACTAAGTAATATCAACAAGTAATATCAATTTTTATAATAACTGTTTTATTACTGCAACTACCATTTTCATTTTATAGAGCAAAATATTAATTTACTATTTAAAGCGTGGTTTGTCTTGACTTATGAAATATAAGCATTTTCTGAAGAATAAACTACTGTCAAAATGCATGAAAATGTTAACAAATTGTTTAAAAGTTTTTATAAAGATATCTACATAAAATAAATATAAAAATTTAGATTAGATAACTAAAATAATTGACAAACTAAAAGTTTAAAGTAAGAGGAAAATCTTATGAAAGGGAGATCCTTTGAAAAGCCGTAAAAATCTATTGTAGGAATCTGTCATCAAATAAAATACAAATTGTCAATAAGTATGACAAGTGTCATTAGTTTAAATAATTATTTCCATTAAAGGAAAAAGTTATGTAAGAATTATTTCCTTGTAATTGTAAAAATTATTTCCTTGTAATCGTTTGTAATTAATAATATTTCTACGTATTTTACCAATTTACCCCCGTATTTTACAATAAGCTTTTTTGAGTACTCTCCACCTCCCTAAACGTACCTACGCTTTTAACATATTTATCTAACATTTTATGATATTTTTTTAATTTAGTGTCTATTTTCTTTTATAATTGACCCACTGCCCTCTCATCTTATGTACACCATTTGCAGACCCCTCTTCACCTCCGAGCGTACGTACTTTATGGACGATTCCTTATAAGAACTAATATAAAGTAAAAACCTCTTCGATGATATAAAACATATCATAGACACATATAGTAATAATAATAATAATAGAAATAGCAACAAATTAACAATAGCACAATAATGAAAATAATTAATTGTATAATAACAATAATAACAATAATAATAATAATAATAATAATAATAATAATAATAATAATAATAAAGTAATTATAATAATTTAAATAAGTCGGTATCACTTTCCATACAGCAATTATTTTTGAATACAAAGTTACAGTTACAAACAGTAATAAACTGACAAAACGTAACAACTAACGATGACTGCTAAAAAAAATTATAAAGATTATAAAGAAAAACGAATACTGCTAAAAAAAATTATAAAGATTTAGTAAATATATTAAAATAATCATAGTTGTTAAAATATAATAATCAAAATATATTGCAAATATTATTACCAAATAAATAAATAAAATATAAACAGAAAAACACTGAGAAAATCAAAACAAAACAAGTTAAAACAAACATTACGAACAAAACAAAAAATCATGCAAAAACAACAACTTATGATTAAAAAAAAATAATAATAACACACGGTAGAATAAAACATATATAATAAATGACTAAAATGAAAATAAAAACACATAATATATAACTGTATAAAAATTTTATATACCACTAAAAATAAATAATAACTCAAAAACAAACAAATGACTAACAAAAAATAATTAGTAAAACTGTAAACGTTAAAAAATCGAATAAAAATAAATAAATATTAAAATAAATAATCCTAAGAAATATATGAAAGAAAAACTAAAGAAATATATGAAAAAATAAATAAATATCTTGATTTGACGATCGAGGTTCCGCTCTTAAAATAGATTTTTTTCTTTCTTTGCCATTCTTTTTATATATTTCATTTATTAACGTTTTTTTTTAAACTTCTAATTTCATTACTTTTTTTACTTATTTTCTTTCAGATATTACTTTTTCTTTTCTTCTTTTAAAAGGGGTTGTCCATTAATTACGTCAAAAAAATAAGGGGGAGGGAGAGTCTGAACTTTTTTTACAATCGTTGACAAGGGGGAGGGGGGGAGATCAATTAAAGTTTATGTCAACAATTTTTTTTTTTAGTTTCATTGCTTAAATAACGGAAAATTAGGCTGAATTTGTTGCTTAGCTTCTTTGTATAGGGGGGGGGGGGCAAGGTTATCAAAATTGACGTAATTTTATAGGGAGGGGGGGGGGGGGAGGTCTCTGGAAATTTGACAAGGGGGAGAGGGGAGGAAAAAAATTAAAAAAAATTGTTGACGTAATTAATGGACAGCCCCAAAGATTTATTAATTCTTCTTTTTTGTTGATTTCATTTTTAGTTTAATTTGTTTTCTTTTCCATTTTCCTTTTAAAAAGTTATTTTTCACCGTTAGAAAAAAGCGTCCACCATTTGCAATGTCATTGCAAAGTTTAAAAATAAAATAAAAATATTATTTATCACTTATTTTTAATAAGTTATTATTATTACCATCTGTACTAATTTCCGATGTTTCCACTTTTAAAAGCTGTAAATTAAGTTAACACTACGTAACACTACGTAAGTGATATTTGTCATTTTAGTTTATAGTGTAATTATTGTGATTAAGACTGCGAAATAATCAGAATCAGTATATATTTAGAATTACAACAAATTACTAGAGAAAGAAAATTGGAATCGGCAATTTTTTGAATCAGCTCAATCTATATGAAAGCCAAAAAAAAAAAAAAAAGGAATAAAAAAAAGCACTGAAAGTAATAGCAATCAAAAAGAGAAATTAAGAACAAAAAATTTCAGAATGCTTTAAAGTACCAGCATCATATTTCAAGTATCAGCATCATTTAAACAACCAGCATCATTTTATATTGAAAACGGAATTTCTGATAAAAAGCAAGAACGTTCCAAGAAAAAAATTAAAATATTAGAATATACTTAAGTAAAAAAGTTATTATTCTTTTTTAATTTAATATGCTATATGGAAACGGTCTATACAGTAATAACTGCCTCAACAAGGGAATAATGTATGATCTCCTGCAGTGAATCATAGCATTAAAGTTTTTATTATCTGCAGTTGTTATAATGTAAAGCAAAAGAAATAACGAAATTCTTTCTTCTAAAGAATAATTTCCAACTCCATATATTACATTTATAAAAACACAAAAGAAATTAAACATAAAATATAAAAATAGATCAAATATAAATCGAATATATTAAAATCATTTATACTTTTTTTTTGAATTATACTTTTAAAAAACTCGCAAAAACTAATGAATACAGTATCAATAATAAACTGACATGGCGACCAGCACCCATATTTCTGTATAAAAAGAATTTTTTTTATATCTAAATAAAGATAAACAAGATTTTTTTAATTAAAAAGAAATATCTAACTTCGATTTTATCGCGTTATACAACATTACAACGTAATTTCGAAACTATTCTGCTGAAGCCATGAGTGAAAGCATATCTGAAGCTTCTTCGTCTTTCTCTTTTAGTACATCATGTGGTGTCATGTTATTGACAAGGAAATCAGCATCACTATAGTCTACTTTTGATTGCTGACATCCGGGATAAAGTTTATTAATTTGCATGACATCTAAATGTGTAAGTTGATATCTCTGTCCAAAATTTAATGTTTTATCTAATTTCGATACTAAAGTCTTTTTACCATTAGATGAAAACGCATAGTTGTTGTAATGCATAACACTCTAAAATGTTTCAATACAAGTGTTATTACTATTATTATTTTTTTTTGAACCGTAATAAAAATTATAATATAATTTATGAAAGCATTAGTTATAATTTGCGCTAATGATTGCATATTTTGTCATAATTGAGATCACTATAAACACATGATTGCATATTTTGTCATTATTGCGATCACTATAAAAATATAATTGCATACTTTGTCATTATGGAGAAAATATGATAATTATACAAGTCATTATAGCATACCGTATGCGGCAGCAAAATTGTAACTAGTAATACTACAGATTTTTTTTTTTTAAATTTCAAAAAAAAAAAAAAAAACATTAGCACTGATCATAGCCTCAATTCGAGGATGAAACTTGAAACAGGTTTTCCAGATATACTCAGCTGATATGTTGGACCAAGCCTAGGTGATGTAAGTCTTCAGGGCTTTAACATTTGGGTTTTGTTGCTTACAAGACCATATGACCATATATAGGGCCTTAAATATATGCCCGAATAGAAAAATCTAGAGCGTTCAAATCTGGAGAGCTCTGATGCCAGGTTTCTTTGTAACTAACATCTCTGAGGGCCAGGTTTGAACGAGTTTTGCAGTGTAACAGGGTGTACCATCCTGCATGAAAACAAAATTGTAACTACTCTTAATGTTGCCACGTATCTAGGGAAGCACATGGAGAACTTGATCTAAATAATCTTTTTCACCCAATCAGAAGCTTGGTAAAAAAAGTTGGTAAAAAAACTGGAGATATTGTGAGACTTTTGGAAGCTACCAGGATAAACATCACAATCTAAGATGCTTGGCCTGACTTATTGCTTTGATATGGTCAAGGACATCCTAAACATGTAGGAATGAAAGATACCTGTCAATCCGGCTGTTTGAGACAGGATCCACTGTAAAATATTTTCATCTAAAAACAGAAATATTGGATATTTTTTCTTCCAATTACAGAGAACCTTCTTACTTCTTCAGACTCTTAGCCTTCACAGCCTCAGTTAACAGAAATTTTTTGGTTCTGGCACAAGATTTAGCCCATATCTTGTATTTAACAACCCTGAGGACAGTCTTTTCTAAAATGTTGAACTCGGAGGTCATGGCTCTCAATGTGTGGATTTCTCTTGATTTAGCCTTTGAGGCTTCTTACCAGGCTGTTATTAATAACTTTATTCTGTCTAACAGAATAAAGTTTTTTAACAGCAAAAACTGTTGATCGGACAACTTCTGTCTCTTCTATAACGTTTCGGACACTCTTGACCACGCGATAGGCTCGTTTTTTGATTCTCGTTCTTTTAATGTATTATCATGTTTTTGAATTACTCCTTATATTTTTGTTTACTTTTTTAAACAGGGTTCATCGAGCAACTACATCAACTACGTAGATGTAGTTGCTAGATGAACCCTGAAAATCTTAGAAATTTATTAGTTTTACCACCAAACCTATGATTTATTAAAGTTTGGTCCAAATTTTCCTGACGCATACGGTATATAATTGTAACCATAAGGAAAAGTAGTTATTAATTATATACTTATGCAGTATGTGGCCAATAGATAAAATAAATTACAAAGTGCATATAGCAAACAAATACTCCAATATAACAATACAAATACAATATACAAAGATAATATATAGAAGTATAATATATATATACAACATAAAAATATCAATATAACTTAAAATATAACACAAATTTTTATGTAAAAAACAAAAATTTATTACGTAATACCTACCCAGTAATTGTAGGGCACATCAAGATTATCAGCATCTCTAAGTGAGTACATTCGAAAATTGTGCAACAACTCTAGAAAAATTATGTTTCTCAATGAAATAGATGTCAAAATAAAATAATTTATGCCAAAATTTTTAATATTTTTGATCTGATTTTATTTCAAAATTTTATATATTAACATAACTAATATTAGGGTCGTTTCCACACCTACCGTGAGTTTAATAAAAATTATTATAATATGTTAGATTACTCAATAAGTAGAAATGCATTGGATACGAATTTTTGCAGCCGTCAGTGTAATACTATAAGGGTTAGACTAATATTATTGTTACTATTAAATTTAAATCAATAATGTAATTATTTTGATCTAATTTTAAAGCACAGTTTTCTATTCTTATTGTAAGTGTTTCACACTTAGCGCATATATATTTTTGACACTTATCGTATATCTTAAAACCTGATTTAATATCTGGTTTATAATGCACTCGCGGTTTCAAATGAATGATTAATAAGTAAAATTTTATTAAAAGTTTTTAGGTATTTCAATTTTAAAAAAAGTTTATTAAACATTAATTATATAGTAATGAAAATATTATTATGAATTAAAACTAAAGATTTTAATGTATTTCCATTAATTTAGTATATATCCTTTAAGTTCTTAAACTGGAATAGATAGTTTCATCATAATAATGAGTCTTATTTTATAAATATTGTCAACATTTCAATAGAACTCATTTTCTGACTCAGTTTCAAGGCTTTCTTTTTCTTTTGCAACTTTCTTTTTTTTTTCTCTTAAAACTTTCATGTTTTTTCTTTCCTTTTTAACTTAACAACTTTTTCTCCATAGCCAATTGTTCCTTTTTTAATCTTTCTTCTTCTATTTTTGACTTTTTATCTGCAGCTAATTGTTCTTTCTTAATTTTTCATCCTTTATTGGTGACTTTTCTTGCACTTTTGACTTTAGAATTTGCTGCCACATTTCAGATGTTACAACAAATGGTAAATGTTCTATTTTGTGCTTGGACATTTAGACTGGTTGTTTTAGCCATATTAAAATACTTTCAATTGGATTTATGATTTCTGCTGCTATTTTAAAAATGAAACAAGCTGGTTTTGGTTCTATTACCGCTGCAATACTGCAATCAGGTATTTCCATATCGGTTGTAACTTGCACATTTTCTAAATTACAAGTTGTTGATAGACTTTTATTACTCTGTTGTATTTCATCAGGTAAAATCATGGTCTTATGACACAGCTGGTGGTATTCAAGATCACCTTTTCAACCTAAATATTCCTCAGCTATTTTATACTGCTCTAAAATACTTAGATCAATGCACTTTTCAATAAAGGTTATGGTAGAGGAAGCTGATAAAGCCACACTTGAATGATTCTATTCTAAATAAGGAGTTTCTTCCATCCTAATGGAACAGCACTTATAATTCTATTTGGACAAACATATTTAAAAACTGTTAATGATAATTGTTAGTAAATTGTGTTTTTATACTGTCAGAATTCAAATATTTTTGCACAGTATCTAATAGCTGTACTACAGATATGGCAAATCCCATTCTGGTGCAAGTTAGTAACCACTCAGCTAACTTGTTTTCAATGTGTTTACCTAGTACTGATTTATACCCACAGTAATGTATCTTCAAAGACGTTCTTCTAGATTTTTTATCATGAAGTGTTAATAAGGAATTCCAAGCATCTTGCTTGTTTTGTACCCAATCATACCTTTTTCAACAGCATTAATAGCATCACTATTAATTTATTAAATTGACTAAATGTATATTGAAATCTTTGTTTTGAGCTACAAGCTTTTGTCTTATAAATTTGTCTTGCCATTGTAAAAGAATCTAAGAATCAATGCCATTGTAAAAGAATCTAAAATAATCTATTTATTTTTATAGTAATAAAGAAACAAATTGATTATTCATTGGACATACGATATGTATGGAATGACATTTTTTTTAGTTCATACTTGTGCATTTAAAAATACTACATTGATACTATAATAATGAGTGGTTTTAATAATATTAATAATGATTCATGCTTTATTTACCTGATTAAGTCTATTTACCTGATTAAGTTCTATGTATTGTAATAGAAGTGCATGACGATGTTGTTGATACACAAAATATAAAAATTAAAAAAAAATTATTTTTTGCCAAATTTATGTTAGTGTTTAAAACCTACAACAAGTGTCAGCTCAAGGTAAGTGTAGAAACAACCCTATTGATAATAAATAAAAAGTCTAAAATAAAATTACATTAATAGTAATAAAATATTTCAAACTTATTACAAAAATGTAAATGTTTAAACTAAAAAAATATATATTTTCTAGTATTTTTTTATTATTAAACTAAAATTGTTAACAAAAAATTTAAAAAAAAAGCAAGCTGATAATTTGAACTTACCCTGCACCAACCTTAACTAATTTAAAAGCAATAAGGGGGCTTAACAGAATGTTTTTAATAAAAACATAATTGAATAGCCAAGTTTTATATTTGAAATCAAACATTTTGTTATATAAAAATAATAAAAAGTTAAAAATACCTAATATCTAGATAAGCAAATTTAGAGTTTTACAGCTATTTTACCACACACACCCTACCCCGTATAAAACATTCTAAACCGAATGTGCAACAATTACAGAATTGAGAAAAACATATACAAAGGTATTAAAAATAAGTAGTATAAGTATTATATTATAAAATACTATACTAAGAAATATATATATATATATATATATATATATATATATATATATATATATATATATATATATATATATATATCATATATATATATATATATATATATATATATATATATATATATATATATATATATATATATATATATATATATATATATATATATATATATATATATAAATATTTTAAGAGCCAACTGAGAGACTAAAAACTGATAATGCACAAGGCTTTTTAGATGTGGTAAGGTTTTCTGTATTTCCTATTTAACCTCTATAAATATCTTAAAGATCTTTGAATCATTATCATAAACAATTATTGACTTTTAATTATAAATCATAAACAATATTTATAAATTTTATTTATAAATTGTATGTATTTTTTGTAATTTTTTTTATTTTTTTTTTAAATTACTAAAGCTTAATTTTTCAAGGTGTTGGGTAATCAAACACATTTTATTTTGTAGGTGATGTGTTAAATTTATAGAAACTGACATTTATATAAAATTATAGAAACTTAAATTTATATAAGCTAACGATGATCTTACTATAAATATAAGTTTGTTTTTTTTTGATTTTTTTTTTAATTTTATATAATTTTATGTTAGATATTTAATCATATTTTATATGAATCTAACTGTTCATTATATTGTTATAGTCTAGTAGGGATATTTAAAGTAATACAGGCTAAACTTTATAAGGTTTATTTTTTATATTTAAGAACTTTGCATAAACTTTATATATGCTTTTTTTTTTGTTTCTATTTTAACAATTTTTTTTGTTCAAAATGTTTAAAATTGATAAAATAATTTTGTATTTTTAATTTTTAGTACCACAGCTCAAATTGTAGGTTTTAATTTACAATTGATCGTAACTTTAACTTGAATACTTTGTACTTATGAAATTATACAGTACTTATGCAGTATTTGTGAAATAAATTTTGATTGATTAGTTGCTAAGTTGTTGTGCAACAGCAGTTTCTGATGACATTAAGGTGTCAAGTTTCATTTAATAAAAAAAAAATTTTTATGATTTTTTATTCATTATAAAGGATTTGTTGCTCATAATAAGTTAAACTTTGATATTTTACTTCAGATAGAGACGCCATTAGTAGTTTGACTTTTATTTTTATTATTATTTTTATTATTATTTATAACAGGGCATTCAACAAGTCGGTAGGATAAGTAATAAAAAAAAACATTTTTGACAAAACTCGATTTTATTATTCAACATAGTTGCCATTAAGTGCAATACAACGAGTATAGCGATTTTCCAACTTTTCGATACCACTTTTATAGTAAGATTTCTCTTTCTCGTCAAAGTTTCAGCGATTACTTAAAACAGGAAAAAACCTGGAGAATAAAGTGGGATTAAATAAATACAGATTTCTCTTTCTCGTCAAAATAGGCCTCAGTTTCAGCGATTACTTCATCATTGAATTTTTTCCCAGCAAGCATTCTCTTGAGATTTGAAAACAGGAAAAAATCGCTGAGGGATAAATCTGGAGAATATGGTGGGTGGGTGGGAGAATAAAGTGGGTGGGAGAATAAAGTGGGTGGGTAAGCAATTCGAATCCCCAATTCATTCAATTTTACCATCATTTTCATGATTTGCGACACTGTACATTGTCTTGGTGAAAAAACACTTTTTTCTTTTGCAAATGTGGCCGCTTCTTTGCAATTTCAGCCTTTAATCGATCCAAAAGTGCACAGTAATAGTCGCTGTTGATGGTGGTTCCTTTTTGGAGATCACTTTACCAGTCGATTTTTGAGTCATTTTGCTCGCTTCGGATTTGGTTCGTCAACTGCTGTCCACTCAGATGACTGTCTTTTAGATTCTGGTGTATAATGGTGAAGCCATGTGTCATTCATTGTCACATATCGATGATAGAATTCAATTTTTTTGCAGTTTAACAGCGCCAAACACTCCTCTGAAGCATCAATTCGTTGTTGTTTTTGGTTGACTGTGAGCTCACTCCACCAGGGGCGTGGTGGCCCCAGAGGCTTTGCGGGATTCCCGTATGGGCTTTTCACTTTTTAATTAAAGTATGGGCCTTTTTAATCCAAGTATAGGCCTTTTAGCAATTTTTACTTTTTTTGACATTCTGAAAAAATTCTATTTATTTTTAAAATAAAAAACAACTACACAGCATTTTTAGAAAAATATGAAATATTTATTAACTAATTAACTACTAAACAGAAAATTTTATATTTAAGGTATGAGCGCTGTGGTTTGTTAATGCTTTGCAAAAATGCTAGTTAAAATGCAGAATCAAACAAAAGCGTAAACAATCTATACAAACAATTTCTCATTATTTAAGAAAAAAAAAAATTATTTTTTTCAACTTTTTTTTGAATTTAGTTTTAATTTAATTATAATTTAATACAATTATGTTAAATATAAAATAAAACTAAAAAATAAAAAGATTTTTTAAATTTATTTTAATGGCTATTCTTCAAACAATAAAATAAAAATCGTATTTGCTTACAATCACTTGGCGGCAAAATTGTATTTTAAAGAAATCAATTGAATTTTATTGTTCCGCTTAATTTGTCCGATAAAAACTAAAGAAATGCGATCAAATTTTTGTCACAAGAAATATTTATTCTTATGATCTTGAAGGAAAGGATTTAAGCTCAAAAAATAAAATTGGAAAAAGAAATATACTATGTTTTTTAAAAAATACCATACCATGCAAAATGCTTTTTAAATTATTATATATACATAAATAGTTATGTTTACTTTATTAAATAAAGTAATAAATTAATTTTAATGATTGCTTACAATAATTAAAATTTTCCCATTTTCTTCAAATTGTCAAGGAATACTATAATTACTTTTATATAAATATGTCATTATATATATATATATATATATATATATATATATATATATATATATATATATATATATATATATATATATATATATATATATATATATATATATATATATATATATATATATATATATAATTACGTATATTCTAAAAAATGTGTAATGCATTTTTTAATGTCTTTAAACTTTTTCCATTTCTTTTATAAACACTTTTAATAGCGAAAAGCTTTAGCGCGAAAGCAAACGTTATGTAACGTAACTCAAATTTAATAGTGTAATTAAACAATACTGGTTTCTATAAGCATTAAAAAACTATTACGTTAAAGTTTTTATAAAACAAATTTAAAAGGTTTAAAAGCTAAAATATTCGATTAAAATTTAAGAAAACTATCAGACAAAAAATAAAACAAATATTGAAATTTAAATTTAAAATAATAATCAAGGGGCGAATTAAGTGATTGCGAATTGAAAATTCCGAAAAATTCTGTTCTTTAAATTTTTAGTTTCCTTAAAAACCGTGAACTCAGTTCTTATGGATCTTAAAAATCTACTAAAACTAATTTCATTAAGAGTCTCATAACTAAGTTATAAAAGTCTCATAAATAAGTTATGAGAGTCTTAATGAAATTAGTTATAGTTGATTTTTAAGATCCATAAAAACTGAGTTCACAGTTTTTTTAGGAAACTAAAAATTTAAAGACCAGAATTTTTTTCAGAATTTTCAATTCACGATCATTTAATTCGCCGCTTAATATCATTCTTACCAGACAAGTACCGGGCAAGTATGGGCTTTTTTATCTACCATTTTTGGTAAAATCCTGCATATATAGGCTTTTTTTATAAAATCCCGCATAGGCCTTTTACAGCTACCACGCCACTGCATGCGGCACCCACTTTACACAGAGTTTTTGCATACCCAAATGTTAAAAATGGTAAAAACACTACCATTTGATATCTTTACAATGTCATCTAGCACATGTATCTTCAATTTGCAATTGTTCATAACTAATTTATGGATTTCTTTGATGTTTTCTGGAATAACAGCCTTATTTAGGCGTCCACTGCGCTCTACATCATTTGTGCTGTTATGAACACGTTTAAATTCAGCTATCCACTTCTCTACCATTTGTCTCGAGGGAGCAGAGTCTGGATAATGTTTATCAAGCCATTTTTTGGTTTCCACTGTATTTTTCTTCATCAAAAAGCAATGCTTTATCAAAACTTGAAATTCACTTTTTTCCATTTTTTTTTCAATAACAAAAGTTGCTTCACACAAAATGCTTTAACTTACAAATCAATAGTGAGATTGCTGACAAATTTATCCACGTATCATTTGAAAGGTTAGTACTAAATAAAAATTATATGAAAAAAACTCTATTAACGCCATCTATGTGTCATCCTACAGACTTATTGAATGACCTGTTATGAATGACTTTAAAATTTTAAGTCTTTTTTTAGTTAATCGTGATTCTAATGATTATTACATTAGCTAACTTTATTCTATTTAGCTAAGATATTTTTCTTAACTCTTAAAGTTCAGATATTTTTATTTTTAATTTTATTTTTTTTTTAATTTTTATATTTGAAAGTAATCTTTTAAACTGCAGGATAAAAGAGGATTAAACTGCAAGAAAAAATAGGATTTATTAGAACAAATTATACATGTTTTAATGGACAGCTAGGTTCAAATTGTTGGACACTAATAGCATGCCCCTGAATAAATTATGTATTACCACATAACATTTACATATACAAAAAATTTTTTTTTTGACAAAACAGCATTAAGACGATCAACATTAAGTAAATAAAAATAGTACTTTTAGAAATTGTAGAAGTTAGTTTTATTCTTAAAAATATGGTATTATTGGCATTTACAACTTTAAATAATAACTTTCCAAATTTTAACAATAAAGCGAATCTCAAATTTATGACTTTGCGTGAAGTTTTTGATTTTTTGACAAAAAAAACTTGAGTTTAATTTTTTTAAAAAAACAACATTTCTTTGTATACTTGTTTAGCAGCAAGCCTTCCTAGGAAAGGTGTGCAGTTTTTTGTCTCGTATGACCACACGCGATTATAATATTTTAGAAAACGTGAACACGGCCGCTTGCAAGTTTTATAATAATGCTGAAAAAGTTTCAAAAACAAAAAAACAAAGCTATCAAAATAAAAAGAGATTGAAATAGAAAAATAAAAACAAATTAATAATTTCAATAATTTGTGTACTGTTTTTATTTTTGTTTCTTTAGAGTTACATTCAGCAACAAAATTAGGCGAAGGCAAAGCAACAAAAAGGTGAAGCAAAAAAAAATAACAGTTGAAGTCTACAATAAAAATAATGATTTTCCTTTACTTATTTTTTTTTAAGAGGATAGCAAAAATACAAATTACAATGTGTTTGTAAAATTTATTTGTATAATTTTAACGTAACAACAAGGGTTGAACTAAGCGAATGCAAAACGCAAAATCTAGAAAAATATCTAGTATTCAAAATTTTAGTTTATACAAACCGTGTTCCTTGTTTTTAAGGGAAGAATCAATTAAATTTGTTAGCGAAAAATAAAACAATAAACTTACGATTACAATAGTAATAACACTCTAGTCACTAACTGCATTACAAAAGTAATAACACTATAATAGTGTTATTACTTTTATAATGCACTTATAACTCATAAAATTCATTCTTTGTTCAAGCAACATTAGTATTACCAAATTTTAATTGAAGTAGAAAAATATCTAGAAGAATAAAGCGGATGTTCATATAATATTAAAACTAAAGTAACTTATAAAAACGTGACAAACAACTTTATGAGAACATATCGTATTAAAAGTTTAGCATTATGAAAAACGTTACTAATGGACCGTAAAAACGCGCATTAGTTTTAAAATTAACCAATAAAAATTTTTTATTGGTTGATTTTAAAATTAACGTGCATTTTTACGTAACGTTTTTCATAATGCAATACTTTTCATAAAGTACTTTTTTATAACGTTGTTTAAGTGATATGTGAAAGTTCTTGAAATTTTTAATAATATTTGAATATCCACTTTATTTTTTCTAGATGCTTTTCTACCTTAATAAATGTTTGGAATTAATAATGTTGTTTGAACTTTAAAAGTAATAAGTGTAAATAATAAATGTAATAACACTATTATAGTTTTATTACTTTTATAATGCAGTTAGTGGCTAAAGTGTTATTGCTTTTGTAGTCGTAAGTTTATTGTTTTTATTTTGTTTTTTGTAACTTTCTTGCAGCAAACTTTTATAAATTTGCTCCTTATAAACAAAGTACACAGCTTTGCATGAACTAAAATTTTAAAGACCTAATATTTTACCAGAGTTTGCAAATCACGAACATATAATTTAACTCTTGATATAAACTTGTTACATTATAATTATACAAATATATTTTACAAACAGATGACGATACATATTTTATCTTTCCTCTTTAAAAAAAAAACACATAAAATATGGGAAAGTCATCCTTTTTAACGCCTTAAACTGTTTTTTATTTTTTTTGCTTTTTTTTTTGCTTTGACTTAATGAATTTTGTCGCTATTAATAACCACTAAGAAAAAACAAAAATAAAAACAACATACAAATTATTTAAACTATTATCATTGTTTTCTATTTAAGTTTACTTTAATTTTTTATGTAGTTATTAAATTTAAAACAATTTTTCAGTAAAGCATTTAATATAACTTGCGCAAACGGCCGTGATCACGTTCTCTAACTTGAAAAACATTTTCGTGGTCATATGAGACGAAAAACCGCACGCCTTTCCTGGGAAGGCTTGAGCAGCATCTTTATTTTTGTACCCATAAAATATTTGCTTGTAAAAATCTAAAAATATTTTTGCATTAACTTGATGTTACATGTAAAACTAAGTTTGAAAAAAATATGATTTAAGATATGATAATTAATAAATTCTAAATTTATTACAAAATCAAATAAATCAATAAAAGAAATAAAAGAATATATAATAATTAAGGTAATTAAACTAAAAAACAAATTTAAAAAAAATCATTCAAAATTATTTAACAACAGTTAACAGTTCAAATAGTTCAAATTACTAATAAATAAATATTTGAAATAGTTGTGATCTTTAAAATGCTCTGCATTTTAAAGATCCCAATTGTTTAAAAAAACTATTTAACAAAAATACTTTACTTGGTTTGATATTGTCATAAAGAACATCAATATATTGATTGCGATCTGGTCTTGACTGCTCATGAATAATGCCAACTGTGTGCATCATTTCATGCATCACTGTTCCAAATTTCCGACAGCCTATACCAAGATTAATAAATTGCTCACCACCTTGTTTCCCTACAGACGAACTGCAACTGTATAAATAAAAAAATATTCAAATAGTCATTCAAATTTTGTTTAATCAGCATCATCAACCAGCTTTTTTTCTTTATGCACCAATTCGGTAACTGATTAGAATTATTTTTTTGATAATAAATTAAATTAAATTAAGAGGAATTTTAATAAAGAAAATTTAATAAACAAGTTTAATAAACATATTTTGAAAATTACTTTAGTTAATAAACTAAAGCCATTATCATCCATCTGCAATTAAGTTCCTGATTTTCAACGGCTTTTAGTTGGTATTCATTAAGGTTCTTCCAAAAGTAAAAGAAAGAAATGGGACAAAAAATGGGACATATGAAAGAAAAGAAAGAAATGGGACAAAAAATTATACAAAAGAAAGAAATGGGACAAAAAATTGAAATTCACACTATTTTTGATATTCTACACTCATCTCGAACTAGTCATCTCGAATGGGACTAAGAAAAAAGACTCTTGAGATATCGAGAGTTTAAAATAATAAGAAAGAGGTTAAAAATTTGTAAAATCATCCAACTTTAATTAAAAACAAGTTATTTTACTGACAAAAATCACTAACGACAAAAATCACTAACAACAAAAACTACAACCTAGGTAAGTGGGACTTACCTAGGTTGACATCAATAACTTTGTCAACCTTATCTTTAATTTCATCATCGATGTTTTCAAAATTAAGGTCTAAAATTAGAGCAACGATTTCAACATCTGTAGCATTTGAACCAGTGGTTACTACAATGCAATCGAAACTACAGGTGTACCGGATTGAAAATTTTGAATTCCGGCCGGAATCGTTAATAAAATTCCGGCCGGAATGAGAATTATATTTATGCAATTTTTTACCTTCAAGATTGAAAGTAAAAGCCTGTACCTCAGCATCATGGCTACATAATATACATTTATAACCTATAATATATATATATATATATATATATATATATATATATATATATATATATATATATATATATATATATATATATATATATATATATATATATATATATATATATATATATATATATATATATATATATATATATATACTATATATATATATATTATATATATATATATATATATATTATATATATATATATATATATATATATATATATATTATGTATATATATATATATATATATATATATATATATATATATATATATATATATATATATATATATATATATATATACATATATATATTATATATATATATATATATTATATATATATATATATATATATATATATATATATATATATATATATATATATATATATATATATATATATTTTATATATATATATATATATATATATATATATATATATATATATATATATATATATTATATATATATATATATTATATATATATACATATATATTATATTAATAAAAATTTAAAAATTTAACATGTCTGCAAAAAAACATGATCCTTTTCACGTATGAATACAAACTATAAAAAAAAAATTGGAAAAAAACATAATTGAGTGCTGCCGAATTTGATTTGATTATTTTCTTTTTTAGTCTAAAATATGTCGAAATTAGGATTTTTTAGGAAAGTGAAAAAAGATTATAATTTTTATATCTATAGGTAATATTTGTTATTTGAGGCTGTTCATTTAATAGACAACACGTTTTTGACCCTTTTTGAACTTCCCCCATGTATCATTTTGTATTACTTGTTTATCAACTCCTCCCTCGCCCCCTCTTATGCGCAGTGCTATTATTGTTAAAAAAGATATATCTCTAAGTAACTTTTTGCTAAAAGTTTACTAATTCTGCTATTATAAGAATTGTAATTCGCGTCACATTGTAGCTAACTACCCTCTCCATGTGATATTTGGTGACACTTTCAATACCCCTCCCCCATATGGGAGGGGTTTACCACAATACAAGTAATAACTGCTTTTATAACTCCTTTTTAAATGATAGATTGCCTAAATTACAGAAGAGTTGATTAATTTGGAAAAAAATTATTTGGGGCTATTCAAATAATACGTGACAGTCTTATGACCAGGCTAATGAAAAACAGAAAAGATAATAAAAAAGCGGTTATTATTTATACTCAGCTAAATCAACGAATAATTGCTTCTTATTAAAATTGCCTAACAACTTTTCTGTGATTTTCAACCACGTTAAAAACTTCGTTTCGTACAGCCTCGTCCTTAAGATAAGAAATTTTATTTTAATCTGTTCTAATAGTAAAAATTCATGATTATGTAGATTTTAAATTGCCTTCTCAACTCATTATACAGCTTACTTTTGTAAGTATTTGGAGATAATCGGAACACAACTTAATTCCTCTCTCAGCCGCGTCATTAGTCACTTTTAGAGTTTTGATAAACAGCTTCATTTTCAAATAATAAGCATTGTCGTCCCATTCTGAAGAAGGAACTTTAAGCCATTTTCCATCATCTTTTAAATTAAGAAAAATTAACCAAGACTTTTTCTCAATATAAGAAATAATATCGGAATTTTTTCTAATCAGTGGAAGAGTTGGTTTACCCCAATTGATACCAAGTGGTTTTCCGTATTCTAGCATTTTTTTTGCAATTTTATCTTTATCATTTAGAGAAAGTTTATTTGAAAATAAACTTAATACCGACACCTGCTCGGTTAGATACCAAGAGTGTCTGCTTAAAACATATTGAGCTTTTTCAGCAGGTACATCGAAGTTCGGAATACCTTTAAGTGCTTCTAGATCATTAAATAATTCTATATCATTAATTGGTGCATCGCAAGTTTTTGGTGCTTCTAACCAAGCTTTAATGTAAATGGCTGAGCTAAAAGTCAAAAATATTTTAAGGTTTTTTTAATCAGATTCGGTTAAATCTTTTTTAAACATTAACATCTTTGTTGCATAAAGCAAATGCGCCATCCATCTTGCATGATGGTGAGCACCACGTTTTCCATTTCTTGGGCTCTTCTCCACCTAATAGAAAAATTGCTAGCTCTGCAGCCTCTTTGTAATCGTCTCTTGGATGATGCTTAGACTGCAATACTTTTTCTAAGAAATTGCGAGTTTCATTTGCTTTTTGTTTTAAGAATGAATTTTCAAGATCAAGGGATCTATTTGAAAGTTTGAGAGGAATTATTTTACAGTGAAGCCATTCTTTTTGAAAATTTTTAAACTCTATATTATCATCAGATGATGTCTCTTTTTGAAATAAAGCTTTCCAAAACGACCCTAGGATTAATTCTAAAACATGATGACGACATGCAAGCCAGAGAAGCATTTTTATAGATTTGCATTCTTCAAGAAGAGTTGCTGCTCTGTTTCTTACTCCAGTATTACAAGCCGTTGTATCAAAAATTTGGGCAACAATATTATCTTTAAGATCCCATTTTTCTAAATCTTCGATGATTCCTTTACATATAGAATGTCCTGTGCCTGACTGAATAGATTTAATAGATAAAATTTTACCTTCCTCACAGTTTGGAAAACCACTTACTAAAACAGTTAAATAGTCAAACTTTTTACCAGATATTTGCTTCATAAGTTTCCCATCCCAGTGAAGAGTTAAATACTCTAATCTAACTTTTTTTTTTAAATTCTTCAACTATATTTCTTGCCATAATTTGTCTATTTTGCTTAAGTGCTCTTCTAATTGTGTTTAGTGAAATATCTACATCATTAGCTTTAACACCACCTAAAAAATACAGAATAAAATTTTTCTTATCAACTCATCACACTAATTAAAAACTCATGAAACTGATTATTGATTTAAATAACAATAAAAAAATAACCTAGAACCAAGATTGCTGAAACATTCATTATAAGCTGTGCGCTTGATAGTTTAGATCTATCAGCTGTTGCTGTTATCATTGGATGACAAACAAAGTTTCTTGGCAAAATTAAATTGATATTATCTGATACAACATTTTCCACTACATCTGCAGAAGATTCAAAATTATTTACTTCACAATCAATTTTAGAAGAGCTCTGAGAATCTGAGTACATAGAACTTCTAGACCCAGCAAAAAATGATTCTTCAGTTGAGTCACTATCACTTTTATAAATGCTGAAATCAACTTCTTTATCATTTATTTTTCTTTTCTTTTCTTTATTGATTCTTAATTTTTCTTTTTCCTTCTTCTCTATTTTTCTTTTAACACTCAATTTCAACAAATTATCTTTTCCACCTGGTCCTCCGGTTTTTACTCCACTTTTGAGTGCTGAAAATTAGATATTATCTTCTTCTGCATTTAAATTTGATCTGGTTTTTTTAACATATTCTTTCCAATTCAGAGAACTAATATCAAATATATTATCCATTATTTTTTTGAAGCCTTGAATAAGTAAATCTTTTTTTGAAAAACATTTATGTTTAGACTTTGCAAGACTTCTCCATTTATCATGTAACTTAATAATACTTTAAACAATATACTTTTCCTGCTTGCAAGGAATATCAGCTTTATCCCAAAATACTTTACCAGTTTTCATCGTTAATTTTGCAGCTAATTTTAATTTTGAAATGTTGCTTTTAGTACCTAATTCTTTTGTACATTTAGAAAACACTTGAAGCGAACTGTTCGTCATTTTTAATTGATACCTTAACAAGTAAACAAAAGATGAATTGAAGTCTATTTTCTAATTGAAAAATAAAGTTATTTTTGGAAATAAAAAATTTAAGTTATAAAAATCTTTAAATAGAATAAACCTAAAAAATCTGTAGACATCTCTAGTAGTAGGCAGAGAACTGGTATTAATGTCTGCCAGCGGATATCCAACCAACCATATTTCATTGGTTGATTTCAATAATTTTGAGTATTTCTTTTTAATTGACTCAGTCAAATTATTTTTTGCAGACAAATTTTCTTTTCTTTTTTGTGTATGCAATGTCATGTTAAAATGTTAAAATGAATTAAATTGTATGACTGCTAGAAAAATAATAATATGTATAACATCTTTATTTCTTAAAAACGAATAGAAGGATGAATATAATTATAGAATCAATAAATTATGTTACTTTCTTAAAAAATATAGTAGTGTTATGATACTTGCTTTATGATTTTATTTTTTTTCATTAACCTTGTTTTTTAAACTGTCTTTAAATGCATCTATGTTGTTTGAGAATAACAAATTATTTTATTTTAAATAATAAATCTTTAAGTATCGTAAAATTGCATGGTATTTAATGATATAAAAAAATTTAAATTACATTTCTTTTCGTACATAAACTTTATGATTTAAGCGGCTGTTATTTATGCAAAATATTAAAAAAAACAAACAGTAATTAGAATAAAAATATAACAAATTAGTTAAAATAGATAAAACACTCCTGTATGCTGCAAAAGACTATGTTGCTTACATTATTTTTAAATAAACAAGAATGCATCGCATGTTTTGATTGTTTACATGAAAAACAATAGAAAAATGCCGTCATTAGTAAAAATTATGCCGAACAACTTAAAAAACGGAACAGAAGCAATGGAAGTTTTGTGTTTTGGATTTATCCGTATAACTGAAACTTAAAATGAAATTCGGCAGAACTTAGAAATGAGCTACGTTAATACTTTCGTAACAAAAAATGATTTTTATAGTAAAAGGAACAACATTTTATGCAGCTACTAGTATATATATATATATATATATATATATATATATATATATATATATATATATATATATATATATATATATATATATATATATATATATATAATATATATATATATATATATATATATAAACTATTTTATTAATTTGATTTTTGTTTCATTTAAATCTAACATGTTGTTTTTATTTTTCTTATAATTTTATTTATTGAATGTTTTAACCTGAATGAAACTCATATTTAAAATTAGTTCTTTGTTTTCTATTTTTCCATTTAGGTTAAAATTAAAATATTTACTGTATTAGGCTTCCTATACATTTTAATTATTTAAAATTTAAGCAGCATTTAAAATGAGACTTTTCTCAGAGGCAGGTAACAAACACAGTGTAATTATTACATAATTACATTGTGTTTGTTAAGAATTTTGTATTTTTTACTTAGGTTTACCTATAGTTCTTCATTGACCTGTAGGACAATGATTTTTTGATTTAATTTACATGTCTCAAATTGATTGATTTAACTAACTTTATTTAATTCACACGTCTTAAAATAAAAGGTAAAAAAAAATTCTGACACATTTGGACCTTGAATATTGTAATTCCGGCCTAAACCAGAATAACCTAAAAGTCACAGATTCTGGCCAGAATTCTGGTCTAAACTAATCTAAACCAATGTAAGATTCTGCTGACTGGTCTTCTTGGATGGCACTAGGATAACTCTTGCAAACAGTCAAGTTCTTCTATCAAAAATTTATAAGGATGATTATAATCAGCTTCTGCAATATGCTTGTTTTTTTTGCTGATAACAGCTTTTTTAAAGCAATTAATGACAGTCTCCTTTGACACAGTATTCCAAGAACAAATGAGATCTTTCAATGCTTGAAGCAGATAAATTTTTGCAAGCTTTTTCACCCATTCTGAAAAAAGGGTATCGGGTCATTCAACTTTTTAGCTAATTCTTACATATGCAAGGGAAAATAGCACTGAAAATGTTTTCAAACTCATTGGCACTGAAAATGTCTTCAAATTTTAATTCAAAAGAAATGTTCAGATGATTTGATCTATTGAATGCTATTATCTATCACTTTTTGCTGCAGGAGTTTTAATATTATAATTTCAATACTACTACGATAATCTGATTTTGTCCAATATGTTCTATATATTATATGTTCAATAATTGTTTTATAGATTAAGGTTCTCCCCTACCAATTATTATTTGAAATTAAAAATGAATTAATAAACTTTTATATATTTTTGTAACTTTTTTTCTTATATCACTTTCATCTTTTACATTTAGATGACATACATCTTAGACTAAAAAAAAGTAACAATAATAAATTATTTATTATACACTTATTTACATGATTTTTTTAATAAATAATAAAAAACTCAATGATCAAATTAAAAAAAAATACTTATTTACAAGTAAAAAACAACTTACCCATTTGTCAAAGATCTGAAAGTAACATAATCTCTGTCAAATTCATTTTTTGGAACATATCTAATACATGTAAGAAGATTAAATTCCTTTATGGCATCATTTATCTGTTCACGAATGACTGGAACTGAAATAAACAGATTATGTAAAATCAATATAAAATTATTAAACAGAATTTTAAAAAAATTATGCTATCAAATCATTAAATCAAAAACAAGTAAATATTCACTAATTCAAAAGCTCACCTAATGATTTATGAAATGTATAAGGAACTATGCCATCCTTCCAGTGTCTGAACCCACCTTCTTTAGAATTTATATCAGCACTTTTTTTGCTACTATACCCTAGAACTGCTCTACGAATGTTTTCATCCATTACTATGTCACCCTCAAAGAGTTCTGAAAATAAAATAAAATACAATTAAAAGTTTAAAAAAACAGAAGTTTATTTTATTATTTCAATTATGTAGAATAAAAGTAAATTAGTAAAAATAGTAATAATAAAAAATCATATTATTGAGGATTTATAAATGGAAAAAAGAAACAACCTCCATTTTTAGGAAGATCTTCATTGTTTATATCTGGTTGCTTTTGATCACGATCGTTTATTGAGTCATTTTCAAAAGAATCGCTTAATTTTAAAAGCTCCTGCACTACTGCTATAATTGAAATTGAATATAGGATGAAAATAAGCTATTTTATGGATTAAAATATTCAATAAAAGATCATTGTTCCTAAATAAAATTAATAATATATGCTAAAATATACAAAGCGTTTAAAATATTACGCTAAACCTGATATACGTCTTCCTTTGACTTCGTGGAAAAAAACGCAAACACATAAAAGTGAAAGTCCAAAAATGAAATTTTTTGAAACCATATTTTCCGAAAATGTTCACACCATATTTTGTTCATATACTTTAATTAGACTAACTTAAATTAATGTTATCAACTAGAGTAACTTTTAAAAATACTTTTAATAATAGTTTTTTAAAGCTTTACTTTTACTGAAAAACTTTTACTAAAACTAAAAGAAATGCGAGCCTAAAAGATGAACTATGATGATGTCAAAATACATTTGAGTATTGTTTATTTGATGAATTTATTTGATATTTATTCAGTTTGTAGACAGGAAGTATTTAATTGATGTTTGTTAAGTACGTAGATAATAAGATAAACGTTAAGGAGTAATAAATTGATGCAGAAAAAAAAAAGTAATAAAGTTTATACTTCATATTTCCTTATTTATAAAATATGTTACATAAAAATTATATTAAAAAAAAAACATAAATATAAAAACTAACGCAAAATATAACAAAAAATATTCAAAGAATGAAAATAAGTTATTTGAGGTTTTAAATTTCATCTCAAAACATTTGGCGTTTATAGATAATAATTAATTTTATTAAGTTAATTAATTAATCCCGGGGGTTTAATTTAACAAATGGAAATAAGGAGTCAAAAGTAGGGTAATATTTTAATGAAATAAATTATATAGTTTTAAAACATTTTGATTTGTTTTCTTAAACTTGTATTCTTACCTTATTTATTTATTTTTTTACTTATAGTATAACGATTTTTCAACCTTAAAGATCTTATTGTAATTTTCCAAATATTTATGAAAAGAAAAAAATAATAATAAAATTAATAGTTGGTCAAAACTCTCAAATGTCATAAAAATAATCAGATACAATTTGAAAAAGAGGTTTTATGAACCTAATAGTAGAAAAAACAAACAAATAATAAAATAAATAAATAAAAAAAAAAGTCTGTTAAAGATTCAGTGGAGTAACAAGGGTTCAAGTAAATTTAGTTTTTGGTACCAAAGTTTCCGGTTGCGCTATTAAGCATCAAAATTAAAGACTCAACAGAACCCATTTTTTGGTCCTAAAACACTTTTGGGACCAAAAAGTTTTTTATAAAGTTTAAAAAGTGTAAAACACTTATTAAACTTTATAATCTGCGTGGGTACAAATTTTTATTTTTATTTTTTATAATTTATAAGGGTGCTCCCAGAAGTCTTTCGGTCTTATCACAGAACACCACGAAACAGCATACAATTAGGTAGTTCACGCCCCCTTCCTTACCAATGTCGCTTATTGGGCTTGAGCCTGCGTCGAACCTCGAACCTCTGGGTACTAAAACAGAACCCTAACCACTGCGCTATGGCTACATGATTGACAAAAGTGTGCCGAAAGAGCTCACAAGTATTAACAAAAATTAAAACAAGCGTAATCTAAATATGCATGAGTACAAAGCAGTTCAAAAAAAAAAAAAGCGACTTAAATAAATATGCATAAGTGCAAACTAGCATAGGTGCATTGAAGTTAGCAGCCGTGACGCAGTGGTTAGCAGCCCTGGCGCAGTGGTTAGAGTTCTCGCTCAGAACCCAGAGGTCCGAGGTTCTAGCCCAATAAGCGACATTGGTAAGGGAGGAGGCGTGAACTTCTAGTTAAATGCTCTCCCGCGGTGCTCCGTGATAATACCGTAAAGACTTCTGGGAGCACCTAAATAACCTAAAAAAAAAAAAAGTTATTTGCAAACAATGGCGTAGGAAGATTTTTATATGTTCGAAATAAACAACTTTTAAACAAAAAGAACATTCCAAATTTTTTTACTTTCATAGGTATGACGAAAAGATTCTTCACAAAAAAAATTTACTGTGATAGGAGAATGGGAATAAGAAACCCTAACATCCTAGCCCCCCTGCCCCAAACGTGAGATCAGCAAGCTGATGAAATATTTTTTGTACTACTTTTAACTAGACTTATATTCATCAAGAAGTTTTAAATTTCATAGTAAAATATTTCAGTTTTCAAAAATTATGACCATATAAAATTTGCAACCTCCTCAAATTAAGGGGTATTTAAACTTTATATGGTAATAACTTTTGAACACTAAAATATTTTATTATGAAATTTAAATTTCTCGATGAATATAAGTCTAGTTGAAAGCGATAAAAAATTTATTTCATCAACTTGATGCTCTCACGTTTTTCATTAATAAGCAAAACAAAAAAGATCATAAGTTTTTCTTCGCAGAGTTTATAATTAAATAAAAAAACAGAACAGCCCATTAAGTTTAATGAAAATCATCGCGTAAAAGAGCTTAAGATTAATAAAACATAAAGTTCAGATAAAACATAAAGTTCAGATAAACTGACAAAAGTAAGTTAATTTAATTTTATACATTTTTTCAATTACAGTTCGGGACTTTTTTTGCATAAAAGAGTAGATTCCGTTAAAGATTCTGTGTCTTGTTGCAGTTTGTCATCGTTTTCAATAAGAAAGAAAATTTAAATTGTCAAATCGAAAAAATTTACTAAATTTTTCATTTATAGCGAATAATAGTAAATTTTAAATAACTATATCAATATTTTAATTAGTAAACTCTGATCCATAGTCGTTGCTACATAAAGTTTTGGATGATTTTTGAAATAGTTTGTGTAATCTTACATTAACTGTTCTAGGTTTACGTTTTGAATGCTTGACGTATTGAATTAATTAACACTTTTTTGCTTGAATTAATTAACACACTTTTGAATTAACACACTTTGGCTTGACGTATTGAATTAATTAACACACTTTTGTAATCTGGTAATGATAATCTTGTTTTTTAGCTAAATAAAGTTTGACATGAGTTTTTTAACAATTAACTAACCTCAAGTAAAATGTCTTTGAGTATGACAAATTATGTGCAAATAAAATGATTTCAAAATTGTTACTTAATTATAAGAAAACATTGTTTTAATGCTTTAACGGAATGGTTCTAAGAAAAAAATCACCCCTCTAAAAATAATTCCCCAAAAAAAATCCCCTCGAAATAACCCTCCTGAGAAAAAAATCCCTCATGTAAAAATCCCCAGCAAAAAAATTTTTTTTTAAACACTTTTTTGAAATTGATAAATTGCCTTTCCAAACCAAAACCCTCAAAGTCAATGTAGTGGTAATCCTTGCCTGTTCTACCTCTTTGTTAGTCGATGTATGAGCACTACTTGTATGTTCTACTTATTTGTCAGTCGATGTATGTGCACTCTTATGCTCCACTCATTTGTCAGTCGATCACTTCTTGTATGTTCTACCTATTCGTCAGTCAATAAATGCACACACCTTGCGTGTTCTACTTACTTGTCAGTCGACTTATGAAAAGTAAAGGATTAAGGTTTTTCTTGTAACAGATTACATATGTATAAAATATTTATATTATAAACAACTATTATATTAATACAACGCCTATTTTATGAGCTGTACAAAACTTCCTGCTACCGGAAAAAATTTATAAAGTAATGTTTTTTATACTATATTTTAATCATTTAAAATTTTTTTTTTAATTTTTAATTAAAAAAGGTTACTACATAATTAAATACAATACTTGTATTATTTATTATGCGGTAATACATACTTGTGATTAACTATGATGTGTATAAAGCAATTTAGTAAGTAGTTATATATCTAGCTTTTTATTTATTAGTTATTGAACATATTTGCACTCTTTGATTTCACAGGTATAACCATGGTCGGATTTATACTGATGGGGACCCTGTGTTATGTGGATTCTGAGGCTTGCCCTGTAACGGATGTCCTGGAGTGTGACCTCCAGAAAATATTTTGAAATTTAAAATTGCTGCACGTGAGTTTTAGCGCCATTATTGCAAAAGAAAAGTGGTTTAATAAAAAAAATAAATGAGGAAATCCGATAGCTACCTAGACTAAGTCGTGATTTAAATAATAATTTACTTTTACTTATCTGTGGAAAACAGCTTCTTTCAAGTTGTTGGTCATGTTTAACTGTTTACTATTTTAAAAGTTTTTAATAAATTAACAAAAAGTGTTTTTATGATTAACTGCTCGAAATAAAGTAAATAGTACACTATACTTATCGAACTAGACAGTGAACAAATATTGTGTATTCTGCTGAAGGCAATTATTAGCAATTACTCATTATTAACAGTGCCGCCGAAAGGAAGGAAGGGGAGGGGGCAAAAGAGACAGTTTGTCCTGGGCGGCAAATATCCAAGAGCTTTAAACAAAAAGATGCTTAAACTAAAAAAAAAGGTGCTTTATTTATAATATAGGGAAATTCTTAATAAATAAAGGTGTCAATCAGGGTTGCTGTCCCAGGCGGCGTGACGGCTCTCGGCGGCCCTGGTTATTATATAACAGTATATCTAAAACTATTGCTTAAAAATCTTTTTTTAAGAAAAATTAATTTAAAAATTTTTTGTTAAAACAAATTACATTATGTGGATGTTTATGTCAAATGTGAATATTTTTCAAAAGCATAAAAATTTGGATTTTGCACAATGTCTGCAAGAGTCAGATCTGAAGCATGAAAAATCTTGCAGGCAATGTTTGTAAATATTTTTAAATTTTTGAATACTTAAATTTGCCTTTTATTTTTATAAAAAACAAAATAATTTATGTTTATAAATTACCTTAAAAAAGTTTGATTGTATAACACAGTACTCGAACTTTATTCATAAAGAAAAGAAAAATATAATTATCTTTCAAAGCTTTTATTTTTCTATTATTTTTGCTCTATTTTCATGATAATTATTTACAAAATATTTTTCAGTTAGTTTCAGCATATAATATGCAAAAATAGTTCTGTTCCTTTTGATTCGTTTTCATTTATTGTTTTTTGTAAATCAATTAGATAATATTTAGTCAGTATACTGATGTTTTCATTTATTGTTTTTGTAAATCAATTAGATAATATTTTGTCAATATACTGACGTTTTCATTTATTGTTTTTTGTAAATCAATTAGATAATATTTAGTCAGTGTTATACAATCAAACTTTTAATGAAACTTTTAAACTTTTAACCTTTTAAAACTTTTAAAGTTTTATACAATCAAACTTTTAAACTTTTAAATATTCTATAGAATATTTACAAGTGTTGCTTAAATGTATTTTAAAAATGTCTTATGACGCGTTCAGTTTCAATAAACGAAAATTTGAATCTAAATGTAAAGAATTAAAGAATTTAGTAAAATGAACAAAACTTTCAAGTCCTCATCCCTAAATAATTAATAGATCTAAAACTAGGTTTAATA